AACTCAAAGTCTAATGCAAACTGGACTTATATCTAAAAGGATACCACAACAATTTAGAGAAGTACAACTAGTAGAAACTATAATGCTTTATTACCTTTGGATAAAAAGGCTGCAACTAAAGTGAATACCCCAGCAGTAACAATAGGGCCGATTGTTAATTTCCTTCGTCCCCATCTGAAAATTAAATTTTTAAACATAAAGTTACTGTAATAAATATAAGATCAAATCGATTTGTGACAAGTAATTCCTTACCTGTCTAGAACTATAGCGACGAAAGTCACCGAGGGTATTTCTGTGGCCGAGGTGAGGGTAAAGGTGATGAAGAAGTCGAGGCCCAAACCCTCGGACATGCGCACGAGACCGTCAAACATCATCGCACACGCCATATAGATCACCACCATATATATAATCATGTTGCGAAGAGGACCACTTCTGAATAGATCAATCAGTGATTCCCTCGACTGTCGTGTATGTCTTGAGGACATCTGTAAATTAATAAACTTGCGTTAAAACCATTTAGCCAAAGTACGCCAAGTAAAGCCATTCCATGAACATTAAGTAGCTGCAAATAATTTTAGTAGGTTTCAGATTTTTCTTATTTAGCATAGATAGACCTTATCTTACACGAAATTCATCCATAACATCTTCAGGGACCTTCGTTCCGTTGATCTTCTCAATTCTCTTCAGGATCTTAACTGCTTGATCGACTTTTCCTCGCGATGCAAGCCACCTGGTACAAAAAGGACGGAATTGTTAAATTTCTTAAATATTTCATTTGATTCGAAATTAGGACAATTGATTCAGTGAGAAATTCGAAAAAATTGCAGATTTTAATACCTTGCGCTCTCAGGAATGACAAAAGGCACAAACACGCAGACAGCCATCGGCAAGGAGGTTGCCCATAGGAACTTGCGCCAGTCCGATATAAAATAGGCGATCCAGGGCAGCAAGAGGCAGCCGCCGCCGAAGAATAGGGCCGTTGCCATGCTCGCCACCCACGTCCTGTGACGAGGCCCAACGTATTCTAATACTGGAACAGATTGTTAATAAGTAATGATGGAAGTAACAAGTTTACAAGATCTTTATACAACTTAGATAAAGATAAAAATACCTTTGTTTTCCCTTTACACAGTTTAAATTATTATATTTATAATTTTCAACTAAAGAATGATAACATACAATTTATTTGCATTCAAATATGATTCATCTTTTTGACCGACTTCCCAAAAGAAGGAGTAGTTAAATTTTTAACATAACAATTAACAATTGTAAGTATAGTAACGTTTAAGTAATGAATCTACATTGACTGACATTACTTTGAAGTCGGTGTAAACTTCAAAGTAATAATAATTGTACAATATAGACATAACAGCTACAATAAGGTAGGTTTACTATTTTCAAGGAATTATTTTGTTACTTTTTAGTGTACTGTTTTTTTTTGAGAATGTTTTGTTATTAGTGTATTTTTGTCTTCGAAGCGTTAAATATGATCAGATTTTGTTTTAGTTTCATATGTTAATCTGGTCATCATCATACCGTGGCATTATGAGTCCCTTTGGAAAACAGTGACAATATGTTTAAATACAAATGTTACAGCAATGGAATTTCACGGTCAGTACGTTCAACTTACCAAGTATATACAACATCATGAAGTTGTTGTCAAAAGCCATTCCCACGAGGAATCTACAGAAGATGAAGTCCCAAACGCCAGTCGTGTAAATCGTCCCCAATCCGCCCACGCATGCTACTAAATGAGTACCTGGAAATGTTACGATAAATAAAGTCGCCTTTTCATCACCGTATACTAATACCCATAGACGTCACCACGGGTAGAGGGGCAACTACATCCTGGTAAATCACAGAAATGTAATATAACTACAAAAACTGCTGCGAATAGAACCAGCTGACCGCTAGAATTAAACCATCGGCTGGCAACGCTAATGCTAATAACGTATTCAAAAAATATATTCATATTTTTTTTATTAGCAATTGCAATCTAATCTAACATTATAAAGAGGTAAGATTTGTATTTTTGTATGCATTTTATTCACGTTAAAACTACTGGGCCTATTTCAAAATTTCTTTCACATTAGTAAGGTAAATTATCTGTAAGTAACATAGTCTTTTTTATTAATTTCAAGCGGGCGATGTCTCGAGCAGCAGCCAGTTCGTTTATACAATTCACAGATATTAAATGCAACATTTAACAGCCTTATAGAACATTTGTTATCTCCATAAAAGATCTTCAAAGAACGAAATAGTCAAGGGCGACAACAGACCTTGGGGGAAAGCCATGAAAAACTGAATTAATGGGAGTTCTTTTAATAGAACAAGGACGATGTTATTGTAGCCAGTGTTATAAACGTACTGCCACATAATTTAGTATCCATTTATGACTAAAAATCGCTGCATTTATGACTAAAAGTCTATATTTATAGTTACCTATACTAATATTATGAAGAGGAAAGATTTGTATTTTTGTACGTATTGAAAGAACTCAAAAATAATTGGGCCGATTTCAAAAAGTCTAAATTTGGAAGTAATATAGACTTTTTGAATAATAGAGTAATATAGGCTATATTTGGAAATATCACGTGGACGAAGTCTTGAGCAACAGCGAATTAGATCATACATTTTCTATGATTGTAAAAGTTTCTACAATGTTTACACTTACCAACCAACGCAGGCACTCTCCCGAAGCGGTCGGCCATCCAACCGAAGAATAATCCTCCCACTAGAGAGCCCACGAAATATATGGTTTGTGCAAGAGGAGCGTAGCCGGAGTACTCGCACACCCATCCCCGCTAAAAACAGCAAACACCACAAATAAGAATGGAATTAAAATATAATGAAAAGAAAACCTATTGTTGTAAAACTAGACTATGCTTTGCTAATCATTAAAACTGATTGTGATAAAATTTATGATAGGCTTACATAAAGTAGATAATTCTCAGATGATTCTATTACGTATACCTTTTGAAAATTATAAACGTCATAACACTAGTCTTGATAATACACGAATTGTACAAAATAAGGAAAAAGCCTACAGAATATCAACAAGCATTATCTAGCACGCGACTTAAATATCTACACTATTTAAGTAATGAAATGAAGATATTTACAAAATGAGATAAAAACTGTTTGAAGTGATTCAGAAAACAACTAAACCACTCATTGCTAACTCTAAGATAATACAAGGGTACAAACGCAATTTAACACTTCATTTTAATCTTTGTAATCTCCGTCAGTTTGCTCTTTGAAATTTATCTGGATTAAATTCAATACATTGCGGGAATTCTAAAGTGAAAATTTTATTAACGTTTTTCCTCAACAGTGCTAATTGGTATGCAGAGAGGATCTTCTCATAATTCAATCTTACCTCACTGACGACAGTGTGATAAGGAATATCTCCCAGTTGGAAGTCCCAGCCGTACTTGCAGGGTATCGTGGGTGTGTCGGGCTCCGGCGGTTGCATGGCGTCCAGCACGCGGCTCCAGTTGGCCGCGTACACCGCGCACTGCGCCCATCCATCACCAACGCGCGGCACTGACAGATTGCGTCTTAAACAAGAAACAATTATTTAAATCAATCAAATTTATACATGTTGAATAGACGAGATTGTCTTCTAGTAACATCTCAGGAGTGTAATCATTCTTAACCAATATTGATAAAACTCTAGTTGGAATTGACATATATTAGTTAGGAAATTTCCCCTAAGATCGTCAAAAGGGAAGGTTATTGCTGTTTTGGACACTTAAGTAAGTTTTTGAATATATGGTCAGGATATAACAGATTACACAGAGATAAATTACCTTTCAAATGGTGAAAGAATTTTTTAAATCGGCCCAATAGTTTTTGGTGAATCAAATACACACAAAAATCGAAAAATACAAATCTTTCCTCTTTATAATATTAGTATAAATGACAACTTACGTACCTAAATGATAGCCACTAGCGTTTCTTGATACGTCACTGATGTACGTATACTAAAAATTCGGAATCATTTATCAGAATATTGTACACATTTAAGGAGACTAATCTGATAAACATTTCGTACATTCAAATCTTTAGATCAGTTCAGATAGCCAGGCGCTTGAAACTTAATCTACATAAATATCAGTGTTCGTGCACAGATACAGTGATTGTCAACTAATTTTATGATACAAAATGTATTTAAAGAAAACCAAAAGTCGGTGCTTAAGTCCCCGCCAGTTCTCTTTCACTGGTTTTTCACGACCTTGGCCTACTTTATTACTTTATATTTGGCCAGCAAACCAAAATCCTTTGACACTTTCGATTACCAGTTTTACGAACAACCTATGCGAAATGTTGTCTACATTGTCTTTATTGGACGTTTGAATTTGACTTTCTTACGACCTACTCTAAGGTTTCTGATTGTTTAAAGTTTCAATTTTACCTTCCTTTGTAAGTTATTTTTGAGATCAAGCAAACATTTGATTTCGCTTAAATAACAAATGATAGTTGTACATGACGTCGCGTCGTACGTTCCCCCCCTCGTCCAGTTAAATCCTCCTCCATATTTATGTTATCTTCAAATATTGAATTTAGCGAATAAAAATTTAGCAATTAGTAATTGTTGTGATAAAACATACGCTTATGGCCCTGACTCCACACACGTTGTACCTAATACTTATCTGTTAGATAATGTAATCTATGCAATCGAAAAACGAATTTTCTGAGGTCAATTTCGATAGTGAAATTGTTTTCCCAAATATTAAAATATTCAAACAATCAGGATACCCAGGGTTCTAAAATACTCAGTATTCCTTAATTTTCTTCCGAGTTTATTGTTATTACTGAACTAGTATTCTAAACTTCGGTATGGATCGTTACTATATATTTGGTGGCTAACCTTGAACAACGTGCTATACACACCCCTTCCCGCGTATTCTTTACACTCCACTAAAACTTATATTTTTTTCTGTGCAGAGTTACGATGTTTCGAGCCTCTAACATTTTTTAAAAAATACTGCGCGTAAAGAGGTGTAATAGTAAACACAAATACTTACGTACAGGTTTAACCTAATTAATTTCATTACCCTTATCGTTTCAATAGTTTTCTAATTTTTACCATAATAAATCTTTATACTATCCTAGTATCTTCCGCGACTCCGTCCGAGTGAAATTAATAAAAAACAAAAATGGGTATACTACATTTTATCGAAATCCATTCAACCGTTTATGCTACAAACTCTAACAAACATCCATCCATCTAAGCTTTCGCATTTAAAACATTTGTATGATTTAATACGATGTCTTCAGTTTTCTATTTAGTTACCTGGTCTCCAAATCCAAGTGCGCCAACTCCGGCACATGGCACCAGTGCTGCTGCGGCGTGGCCGTGATAAACATCTGCCCGAAGTAGATGAAAGCGAAAAAGATACCGACTGGCAGCATCGAGAGGAACAGCAGCCTCTGGTAGAGACCCATACCACCGACGTGGTACAGCACGTTCTCCAACGCATCGCTGTCTCCTGTATTCTTCTTCTTCATTTGTTCTTTTTCCTGCAAGAAGATTATAAAAAGTTTCATTGTTTTATAGTACTAAAGCAAACGAGAAAGCGGTCACCTGAAATTCTTAAGGCAATCGCCACCCTAAGACAATCGAAAAAAGTTAGCTGGTTGCAAATTTCCTATCCGACAGAGGAGAGGAAGTGCTGCAAAAGGACATTTAACCCTCCATCTTCCCCCTAGCTAAATTTGTTTCCCCTTCTTACCGTTTCATTATAAAGATGAAAGGTTAAATTTGACCTGCTATTTATAACGAAATTTCGAATATAATTATGTATAGAACTCGATAAACAACAAACACAAACCTCCATTCTAATGGATTCTTGTTCATCTAATCCCATCTTGAATCAACTTCCACAAAAAAACAATAAAAAAAAACAATATTTATATTACAGTCCGACCTTACACACGTCCATTACTTCTTGAGGACTGATATCGAAAGCATGCAGGATCGAAGTTGTCGACGTATTTACCTTGTTTTCCTGATAAAAAAAACAATAGGTAACATTGTCCTATCTAAACTATTCGAATATTGGTTACGTGCGGAAAAAAACATTATCAAACGGTAGATAGAAACATTATTTTGATTTATGAGTAATTAATTTTGTTACGCATATGTATATACCTATACGTACAAAAACATACATAGAAAGGCTCAAGTAGTTATGAAACGTGCTTCGTTCCTTTCGCATTATACTCAAAAACAAAGCAAAGTGAATAAGCAGTGATGTTTGTAGACAAAGCTTGACTACATGCTAATTGCTTTCGAGCTGTCAAAATCACCGTAACCAAACAATTGTCATGACCGTGGTTAATTCGACAGGCGAAATATTTTAGGAAACACGTTGCCTTTGAAATGAAGACAGGTGTTACACGTCATTTCCTGCAAAATATTTTTCTGAATGTGGGTTTGTAATATACGTTAATTCCAGTGCGACTTCCTGTAGCAAAAATGAATGAACTGATTTCCGCTAGGTGTCATTCGAGGAGCGATCCCGTATCGTCCCACACAATGGAAAGGAGGGAACAGAGAGGTTTATTGGGTATGCCTCATTATGAGGAACGTCCCACATAACTCTCGTGCCTGCCCCGAGGCAAGAAGTAAGCGTAAGGCATTCCCCTCTAGAAAAGAACAAAGTATTCTTTCGAGTAGAGATGAAAAGATTAGACACTCTAAGAAGTGTTATAGATATAAGAGTACATTTGGGTTTCGTTAATTTTTTTAATGTTTTACAAGTTACTAGGGTAATAAACATTCAGGGCCGACATTAGGCAGGGCCGGGTTGGACAACCGCCCAGGCCTCTGAAAGCTTGCCAAAGGTTTGCGAACTACAGTCTCCTCATTACCCTATCTCACTCCCGTCGCAAAAGTCCTTAGAAAAGGGGCATTGTAGAATACTCGCCCAGGGCAATAATATCATTGAAACCGTTACTGATGACGTAAAATTGGTTTCGATTTATATCTTAACTTTTCAAAGTTTGCTCGCTTATGATAGAATAGAACTTGCACGCTTTCGTAGAAACAGCTATGCGATGTTTCAGTCAATCTATTACCTCGTTAACTATAGTTATAACTTAACATTTTCTTTGTATTAAGATCGATAGAGCATTTATGCACGCGAACACTTTTCACAGGAACTTTTAATACTATTTATGTAAATGTTTTAAGCGATGTGTATAAAATTATATTCTATGTAAATAATCATAAACAAATGTTTATATAGGAATATATTGTAAAATACGCCTCTAACGGTAGCATATCGAAACGATTCATAAAAACTTCGGTTTGTAAACCTCGCTTACTGTATGGCATACATTAATAGACTTTGGAGTTTAACCGTGGCCTTATCATTTAAGACGCTGTTATTTTTTTAAATTACGACATTACATTTAAAATAGGGTAACAATACATAACAAATATATTAAGATGTTATTGATATTAGCATCCCCTTTAAGGTTCTTATAAGATTGACAAAATATACAATTTGGTCATGACCATAACGTTAAAATGTAAACATATTTGCTATATGTTATTCAATGTAATAATTTTTAAACATCCTACCAACTTTGGAAAGATGTTTGGTAATCTCCAAGTAAATGTTAGTGGACCGAATTAGGTTTATTTGTAGGGTCTAATTAAATAATCTAACAGTTGTATTAAAGTGTGTGCTTGTCAAGGAAGTCTACAATATACCCGCGAAATGTATTACACTATCGTTTGTCAAAGTAAAGCAGTTGGGAAAACAGAGCATGTTTTGGCCGACTTTGCCCTTATTTTATAGCGTACTGTCTCCCGCTAAAACGTTACATCGTCTGAAATGGTAATTAAATGAAGGTAATTATTAAAATTAATTAATTAAAGGTAATTATATTTTGATGTCAATCATATTGTATGCGGAATTGATGAAACGAAGTGTATAAGTTTCGTTTCAATATCCTGCCGGTGGTGATTAAAGATTGTTTCTACTATTTAAAATAACTGTGAGGGTTATATACTTTTATTACATACCTACATTGTTCAATTGTTTGTTAAAAGACATATTGAAATTGTTGAAGAATGTGACCTTGACAATTAACATGAATCATGTATTTTTCATTACATTATCAACGAAAAGTATCAACCTTCGGCTGGTCAAAGCGCTTTAGTGAACTAAGCTTTGTTATCAAATACAAAAAAATCCATTCTACGGTCAAGCTATACAAGCAAGTTTTCCACAGTTATAAAATAATGATTTAGTTAAAACAGTTTGAAAACCATACTTATATCTATCTATTCTATATTCTATACTATTATAATAAAGCGTAAACACACACTTCTTTGTTGCCTAAGATGTCAGCAATTATAGTATATTTTGAATAATTCTTTTTGTAATAAAAAGCCCTACATTTACGTCATGCTTTAGACTGTGTATTTTTACGCCATTAAACATAGGGGGTTAATATTTTGGATAAAATCTCTAATGCGGAAAGAGACCATAAGTTGCTGCCAACATCAAGAAAACATAATTGCCATAGTAAGGTCATTGGTATTTGGACATTTGCAATTGATTATTTGATACATGTAAAATATAAAATAACAATTTTAAAGTTTATGCGGATGAAGTCGCAGGGAAACAGCTAGTGTACTCTATAAAATCGTTAAAACTCTAAACAAAATATAGCACTCAGTACAGTTATTAGAATACGGAGAGGTAGAGCGACTGCCCAAGGCGCTACAAGCCACCCTTTTTCAAATATTTAATTGATAAAGGCCGATAGAAAACTCGCCCAGGACACCGATAATGGTAAAACCGGCCCTGCCCAAAATGTAAGAAAAAAACGAATCGTGTATTTGCAAATATCAGGCAACAGAGCAGACATTGTTGCTAGTCGTTTGGATAGATAAACGTAATGTACAACAGTTGTAATACTAACACCAATATTTGTCACGAAGTCTGCCATTTGAGATAAAAGAAGCATTAATGATCTTGCAAACTAAACAAAGATTAATAAGTCCTAACAATAGACATTACTCAGAACAAAATACTGAGAATATCGCAGGTAAGATTTTTAAATTTCATCTGAAAACGCCGGTAAATATCGTAATGGTTTTGTTCCCAGCGACTTCGTCCGCGGAAAATTAAATGCAAAAATTTGTTTAACTAGCTACCCTATGTGTTCAGATTTTATTCTACATCTGTGCCAAATTTCATCGAGATCCATTCAGCCGTTTAAGAGACATGTCGAAAAATATCCATCCATCAAAGCTTTCGCATTCATAAAATTAAACAAAGATTGAATATTAAAA